ATTTGTTTATAAGAAACGTGGCCGAAAAAGTATCATGTGGAGCGAGAGGATATTATTCATTGGCGCCATAATTATTTAAGAACTATACGACGTTTGCGAAAAGACCATTGTAATATCATATATTTGGACGAATCGTGGGTTAATGTTGGCCAATCTACAAATTACAAATGGTGCGATACTACGATACAAAACAGTCGTGATGCTTTTCTCAAAGGTTTAAGTACTGGCTTAACAGCACCTACTAAACGAAGTCCACGATATGTTTTATTGCATGCAGGTTTTTCAGGAGGTTTCCTTCCTGGCACACAGCGAGTTTTTCTGGCAAAGAAAAATGATGGCGACTATCACGATCAAATGGATGCCGCATATTTTGAGTCGTGGTTTAAGGAGATATTAATATCAAATTTACCAAATAATGGTCGCAGGAATGTCATTGTAATGGACAATGCATCGTACCACTCCCATAAAGAGAGATTTCCTAACAATTCCTGGAATAAAGCTGCAATCAAGGCATGGCTAGTGGAAAAAGACATTTTTTTCGAGGAGTGTTATTTGAAATCCGGGCTATTAGAAGCAGCGCGTGCTTTTAAAGATCACCGACGACGGTTTCGCACGCGTAACAGAGCAAAATTGGCGCAATTATGTCACTCATGTTGTTGAGAAAACGGAAACTGAGATGTGCACTGCGGACAACCTGCAAGATGACGTAGACCAATTGATAATACACGCGAACACAGGGGAGAGTAGCAAAAGCGAATCCGACATCTCGGATGTAGAGGACGACTTTAGTATAATTAATTCAATATCTGTGAGTAACCTCGATTATTTTACACTGTATAACCAATAAAATGCATTTACCAGTCCAATCAGTATGGGCTTTTCGGATATTGGACTTGGTGCACGGAAATCGAGTTCCCGGAGGTTCCACCCTGTATATTTATAGCTATCAAGAAATGTAATTTAAAATATATTTGTTAGTTTAATAAAGTATAAATATAATATAATGTTAAATAACTTACACTATAAACCTTATACCTGCTCATCTGATCAAGTTTGGGCAAGGAAAACCATTATCCCATATGGAATAACACAAGGTTTCGCTGAAAACTACCAGGTTACTATGCCAAGGTACTAGGTAAACTTATGTTGTGTGTAAAAAGTGCGAGACTGCATTATGTTTTAACAAGGACAAAAACTGCACTTCAGATTTCCACAAAAAAAAATTCATAGTAGGTGTTAAAATTTCGCAGTGATTCAAGTGCGCAACTTGTTTTTTTAATAACATCGCCGGGATTAAAAAATGCGCAAAGCTTTTTCGATATTCCCGTTCCTGATAATTTTTCACATATTTACAAAAGAACAAGTTTTTCTTTCATATTGGGCTGGGTGCACGGAAATCGAGTTACCGGCGGAGGTTCCACCCGGTATATTTATAGCTATCAAGAAATGTAATTTAAAATACATTTGTTAGTTTAATAACGTATACAGTTTTATAATAAAATTCTCGCTAAAAACTTAAGGTATTTTTATTCAAATTCATGCCTCTTATTTGGATAGTTGATGGCAATTATTTTATCAATATATTATTTTATAATAAATAACAGAGCCCGGCGTAGACGTCTGGGTACGGTTCTGTGACTACCACTTGGACCTGTTTGTATCGCCAAGCACAAGGCGTGAAATCCGGCAATTGTGCATTCCTATATTAGCCGTACTGCACTCTCGGTGTGACATTTTCTATGACTTTTTCTAGTAAAAATACTAATGATGAAGTTTCGGTAGAGTGAAATAGACTTGTTTTTATTATTCTACAAGAAAAGGGCTTATATAACAACTATATTCAATTCTAAGAGGACTAACATTGAGAAGAAAGGGCATCAGTAAAAGTCGAACAAGACAAAATGGAAAATTAAAATGAAATGTAACAATAATAAAGGAAATTTTAATGAGAATTAAAATTTGAACTTTTTTTACACCTTGACAAATACAACAAAAATCAATTACTTAATTAAATAAAATCCTCAATACAAATAATCATTCTGTATAAATATCTCTTTTAAATTTTAAACAGCCTTTACGAAGTTATGGTTGGGTAGCAGCTGTTTTCAAACTAGAACTAACTAACTTCTGGTAACAGCGTAAGAAAAGTTATCTCTCCTGTATCCATCCGCAACGGCGGTGTGACACAAAAAAGGGATAACTCGGAAATTGAAGTCGAAGTGTACCATCGGACGACATGGAATATAGATGACGTATATCTTAGTTTGTCTAACAAAGCGTAGGGAAGTGATCTATAATAAATTTGGTAGATCGAAAAGGATTGTCACAATAGAAGAGGTAAATTGCAATATGAATATTTACAGGTTTCTATACGATTGGAAACAAAGTAGTTTCAGAAAGTACTAGAACTGTATATATTTTAGATAACTATTGTGATTAAATATTTTCTTCGTTTCATATTCTTAAGAAAGTTATCATTTATTGATAGAGTATGAAAATTATCAGTCTACTGATAATTATTACTACAGTAAAAACATGACTTATTCTTTGAAATTTCCTGATGCTAAAAATCAAACGTAAACAAGAATTTTGCGATTTCTGTATTCTCCATGAATCAAATTCAGTGAGACACGCATTGTAAAGCACGTCACAATAATTTAATTTTGATAGCACCAGAGCATTACATAATAATGACTTTGTGGCCGTACTTAATAAATTACTTCTTTGATACAGTAATTTTATAACGGCGTAAGCTCTTTGTAAACAAATACTTACATGATATGTAAACCTTACATCTTCGTCAAACCAAACCACTATGATTTTAATCTTTTTGCTAAAAATTAAATTTTTATTTCCTAAAATAATTCGATTGGCATAATTCTCCAAAAAAATATTTTACTAGATTGGAGATTAGAGATGGAGGTTCCTCCCAAAAATGATACCCTGAGATTTTGATGTATTCAATTTTAAACAATGATTTTGAGAAAAAATCTGCAGATCAAGAAGGTCATGATTTATTGCATTTACCGCTTGATCACACTCATTTGGATAAAATGACATATAGAGTTGGGTATCGTCTGCGTAATAATGTTGTGAACACGACAAAAAGACAAAGGGAACATTAGATGTGTTTATAGAGAATAAAATTGGACCTAATATAGATCCTTGAGGTACACCAGTAATAAGATCTAGAAATGAAGAAATATTTTGATTAAGTTTTACTGCTTGACATCTATTAGAAAGATAGGATTTCATTAAATTAAGTGCTCTTGCGTTTAGACCAATATATTTTAAAATAGAGAATAATAAATTATGGTTAATTGTATCAAAAGCTTTTGAGTGGTCTAGAAGAATTAGAATTTATATTTTGTTTTGATCATTGGCTCTAAAAATATCATCTGTAATATTTAATAAAGCAGAAAGACAGCTATATCTGGACCTAAAACCGGACTGCATCATAGGGATTATGTTGTTATTTTTTAAATGCGTTTGTAACTGAATATCGATTACTTTTTCCAAAATTTTAGATAATGTAGGCAGTACACTTCTATCTATCTAATCAGTCTCAAACGCCCACTCTTGGGCATAGGCCTCCCCTGTTAATCTCCATTGGTCTCTATTTTAGGCAATCTGCATCCAGTCCTTTCCTGCCGTTCTTTTAAGGTCGTCAGTCCATCTCATCTGGAGTCTTCCTCTTTTTCTTTTCTTTTCCCATGGTCTCCAGGCAGTACACTTACTGGTCTTAATTCTGGTTTTTGGAATTAAATCGATTTATTTCTCAACATAGTTACCTTTTAGCTCGAAAAAGTTAGTAAGACGACGTTCCAATTTATTTAACCCATCCGAATAGTACTTTTGCTCGAGCTTTTCAAAATAGGCCAAAGTTTCAGCGACGACTTCATCATTTGTTGCGAAACGGCGTCCTCCGAGTAATTTTTTAGGTTTGGAAACAGGAAAAAATCGCTGGCTGCAAGATCTGGGGAATACGGTGGGTGTTCAACCAATTCATAGCCCAATTGAGCCCAGAAAGAGCACTTTTTGCGTTCCAAACCAGGGCGTTTTCGACGCAATTCGGCATCGAATGGATCCAATAATGCTACGTAGTACTCACCATTAATTGTTTTTCCTTTTTCCAAGAACTCAATGTGGATGATGCCCTTCGCATCCCAGAAAACAGTCGCCATCACTTTGCCGGCCGAATGTGCACTCTTTTCCTTCTTCGGCGGCCCTTCGCCGCGTTTGCGCCACTGTTTCGACTGTTCTTTGGTTACGGGTGTGTAATAATGCACCCAGGTTTCATCAACGGTGATAAATCGGCAAAAAAATCCTTCGGATCGCGCCGTATCATCGCGAAAAGCTCCGAAGTGGTCAAACGTTTTTGCATTTAATCAATTATCAGCAAACGCGACACCCATCGCGCGGATAGCTTTTTCATGTCCAAATCATGGTGATTGATGTTGTGTACGCGTTCGTAGGAAATGTTTAGGACCTCTATTAACTAACTGTTTTTAAAACTTAAAATTTTGACAGACGTCATGTCATAAATGGTAAATGTCAACACCGAAACCAATTTGGTATCAAGTAGCGCCATCTATCAAAGGCTAGTTTAATATCAATCTGTCCTCGTAGATTTGATATCATGATACTTCCAAGATAAAACCACGTCGCAATCGAATTTTGTACGTCGATGCGCATGACGTCACTTGGTGATAAAAGTTGATCTTTAATTTAATATTCTGAAATATATTTTATATAAAAGTGCACACATTTACTTGTCAACATACTAGATAAACGATAAAACAATACTAAATCTGACAAAACTCCATGCAAAACAGAACATTTCTGCTGAATTTGTAACCTGCTCTTATTTAAATTATAATTAATATGTTTTTTTTTTATAAAGTTTTTAAATGATTTTTTACTGCTTAACCACTGCCTGCAAAACCACAAAAAGAAGCAGAAGAAATTTGAAGTTTGAAGGTTAGCCGACCGACAGAGAAGTGGATTGACAGTGACAGTTTCCTAAACAACTAAATATTTTCGTTTCATTTAAAGTAAAATTGGTAAAATTATGAACAAATTAACTTAATGTCGAAAAAACAATGCAGTCCAATATTATACAAAATAGTATAGAGCTTCCGCTAGAAGTTACTGTGAAACCTTTGGCCTTAGTAGGCGTATCAGGTCTAGATATAGTTAATAATGCAGTTCATAAATCCATTTGGGAGACTTTCAGCAGTAACAGAAGAATAGAAAGGGCTCCTGTTTTATTTAAAATAATTGATAATGCCCATGAATTTCCTGTGATCAAACCAAGAAGAACTTCTTATGACTGGTACATTCCAAAAGGTATCCTTAAGAAAAATTGGATGAACAAGCATCTCTATGAGGTGCCTGCAGTTATTGTGATTTTCTATGACTTAGATTGGAATGATCCGCAATGGAGCGAACGAATGATAGAATGTGCATCAAGGGTACAATCCATGAGGTGAATATATTGTTTGCGGGGATATTTGGTTATGTTAACTTTGTTTTATTACAGGGCAGCATTAGAAGGTCGTAATACTCGTTTAACAATTGTGCTTATACAAAACTCCCCACCTCTACCCCCTGGTGAAGATGCTCTGGCTGCAGAACGTGCAGTTGCTTTATGTTCTAGTTGTGACTTAAGCTCGCAATCCCTTTTTGTCTTGCCTCATGGAGATCATCTACAAGGTTATGCTGTGAGATTAGAGAATGCATTTTATGAATTCGCACAAATGTATTACCACAACGAAGCCAAAAATGTTAAATCTCATAAAGAACATCTGAGTAAAACCAATCATCAGTTTTTGTTTGTTAGACATCAGTTCAAGATGGGATTTTTGTATGAGTTAAAGGATGATTTACACACTGCCCATAAGTAAGTTTATTAAAACTGTTTTAAAAATGTTAGAACTACTTTAAGAAGGTACATACCACTGATAATGTGATAGGACTAACAAATTCATTATTTCATCTAATATTCTATTATTTCTGGGCATAATACATTTATGTTTCAGGCACTATATACATGCTTACAATAGCCTGTTAGAAATTAGGATAGTGGACACCAATGCTATGGAAATTAGAACAGTTGCTGGGTTTATCAACTATAAACTCTGCAGGCTTTTATTTGCTCTAAACCTACCTCGTGATGCCATTTCTCAGTTCAAGTCACACATTGATAGGTTCAAAGCTAGAATGGGGTTCCATGAATTAACCTTTGAGCACTATGCTTGGTTATCAAAACAGTAAGTATAATTCTTTATTGCTTGTTATTTATGATTATTATTAAATAGCAGAGAAAAAGAATTGATGGAAATAGGTAAGAATAAGTAACAGGAAACAACAAATCATGTTATTTATTATGTTCATTTTTATATAACATGTGCATACTTGTTTTTAACCTGTCAATTTTAGTAATAATTTTAGCAAATTTTATAGAGGAACTTGCAACACAATCTTTTGTTGCTAAAATGATTGCAGTTCATTAATGTTTTATTTTTACAGTTGTGTTGTTGAATGGTATTAATAACTCTTTCATTCCAATTACTTTTGCATTATAAATAGTTAATTTGTCATGTTTTTTTTTTATTTGAGTATATGTATATGTGACAGTATGTACATAAGAATATTGTATAAATATTTTAAGGTATTCAGTTTTTGGTGATATATTTGATGAAGCTGTGAAAATGGGGCTTCCTGCTGTACTAACACAACATCCAGGAATATACTATTATCAAGCAGCTCAGTATTCTTTGCAAAGAAAGAAGTTATGCCAGGAATTGTGTGCTGTAAGTGTGAATATGGTTCTTTAGGTAATATTTTATTAAAATTGCTATTTGTTTGTCTAGAAGGTTACTGCTTATCCTCAACCTGATCCATTAGAAGGTGCCAATCTAATAGAATTTTATGGACAAAGACCTTGGAGACCTGGGAAGTTGAATGCAGATCCTCCTGATCCACAAGTAGAGGGAAATGGTATTATAGCACTACAGTTCTTGGAAAAACAGATAAATCATTCTGTAAGTGATTATTCCATGATTTTAAGTAAATATTAATATAATTTTTTATTACAATGATAGTAAATTGAAGATACATTCACACTTCTTGTTATTTTTCTCATTTATTCTTCAATATAGTCTCCTTTTTTGCATAATACAATTTCTAAGATGATTGTCTAACTTTAATATCCATTCCGAAGATAATTTTGCTAATTCTCTTCAAAATAGTGCAAAACTCTCAGCTATGGCCTCTTTATTTGTTACAAAAATGTTTTTTGATACAAATTTGTTACAAAAATGAGCCATTTCTTTTTAAATTTGAGATCAGTAACTAGTCATATCAAGCTAAATCTGGTGAATGCAATGGCTGGTTGATCATTTCATATCTCAGTAGCTGTAATTTTGCATATGCAATGGCAAACTGTGAGTAATTATGGATTTTGGCGAAATAATATTTTTTTGTCAGACAAATCAGGTGGAAGCTGTGATTCTGTACCACTATTTTCTATTTAATATTTATAAATTGGCTAGATACGAAATACTATTAGTTTGTTCTCACATACTTGATTAATTACAAATCTCCTTTGTAGTTTGTCCTTGTAAAACTACTAACTATTTTAATTATTGTTCAATATATGAATGTTATTAAGATTATTGTTTTCAGAACCTAATTATAGCTCTGTATGGTTTAGCGATTTCTCAGTACAAAACCTACAGGTGTCCAAGAACTAGAAGACATTTAGTATTGCAAATGGCTGACGAGTATTATGACAGTAAAGACTATGGAAAGGCTTTAACGTAAGTTTTTCTATTTCTTTTTAATAACCATCATTTTACTATTGAATTTGTATAGTGAACATGTTTTTTGTGTATGTGTGACATAATTAACGAATTATTTGTTATGTACTAACGATTCAGTAGCCATCTCGTTCTGTCAAATTAGACTGAAATGATGTTGTGTAGAAATAATTTATAACAAAATTTATGGTCAAGAAAGGAGTCAAAATTTAGAAAAACTCTGCCCAAAAATTACCAATTTTTTGAGATTCATATAGCAGATATGTTGGAGAATATAAGATGGACATCTTATGAATATTTAGGAATTTATAAAGCTGAAAAATTACTCAAGAATATTTTTGAACTAGGAAGGTGATTAAAAGTTAATAAAGAAAGTAATATTTGGTTAATTGGAACAATGTAATATTATACATTCTATGTTAGAATGCTACTACTCAGATATATTAATACTAAAGTACCCTTCTATTTAATATTCATACCTTCACAGCTGGAAGTTGCTACAGTATGTATCGTTGCAAAATGTATCTCTTATTAATTCACTTGGATTTCTAACCATATATAACTTGTATTTCCATATCATAATTATATTATTTCAGTCAAACAGCTGCTTCAAGTGGTACACATTTAATTACTCCACTTTTTTCATTATGTCCTTCCACCTACTTATTTCTTAAATTAATTCAAGTTTGTTATAGTTTTGTTCCATTTCAGTTTGTATACACACATGCTGTGGGACTTCCGAAACGAAAAATGGTGGACTATAGTTTCTGTGGTATTAGAGAAGGCAATTTTATGTTCGTATTTGACTGCCAATGTACAAGACTACCTTTTATTAGCATTTGAGATATTAGGAGTAAATATTAACACACCTCTGAATGAAAAAAGAAAAATATATGATAATTTAATTAGGATTTTAAAGGTTAGTATGTAATTTATTAGCTACATATTATGATAGTATAGGTATATAAGCTAGAAAAAAGCAATTATTTTTTAAGAGTATCAAATTAGTTGTAGGGTATGTTTATATTTATATATTGAATGTTCCTGTTTTAGAAACAAATACCATTTGGTGATCCAAAACTAACTCAGAACATCTTACAAGGTGCCATAATCCTATGGCAATCATTTGTCACTGAAAAATCTTTAAAAATTTCACTTGATGTAACTAACATTACAACTTGTCTGACTGTCAAAGGGAGATTTATGAAAAAAACATATGAAGTCGACCAAAAAATCATTGTGGAGCTTTTTATAAGGTAGGATTGATAATACTACTGTAGATCTTACAGTGGTTGCACTAATTTTGTATACTATAATTAATTTTAGGTCTACATGTCCATTTCCACTAACTCTTTCAAAAGTTGCCATATCAATCAGTGCTGAAAACGAAACAAATGAATACAGTGTCCAAACTATGAATGACGAGTCTTTAAGTTTTCAACAAGATGAAATTAAAAGGTTTATTGTCGAGTTCCTAGCTGATCCTTCGGACATAAATAAGGATATTCAGGTAAATAACAGGTATTTAGTATACTTAATAATTTTTCCTCCACTTTTTGATGTTTTTTAGTCCTTTTCTTTGAAGTAGCTTCTTATTACACTGGTCATCAGTTTTTACACACTTTTTCACATTGTTTGCTGTGGTGCAAATATGTTTTGTATAAAGCCAGTTACTTTGTTGTTGATTTTATGTAAACTTTGAGTACACAATGGAGTTGATATTTCAAGTTGACTACGTTTCTATGAAAATTTCTCCAGACTCCATTTTTTGTGAGGTTTTGCATCATTTAGATGAGCTTCTGTTTGATGTTCAGGGGGTTTGCTTTATGAAGGAAGGGTGTTTTGGATTATGTGAATCGAGGTATAGGATGTACTTGTTTGTGAGGTCACATAAGTACAGTAACATAATTTTATGATGTACTTAGTGGGGGATAGTCTGACATGTATTAGGTACAAGTAATTTTTTGGCGGGAAAAATTAATCTTTTTGCTTGTTCAGAAACGTGTCCACGATTTGTTTCCTTTAAAGGTAAATGCAAACTTAGCCATTAGAGATTCTTGGCGAGAACAGTATGTTTTTGGTTGTATTAGTGTTCCTAGTGATATGACAGATTCTTGTAATTTTATAGTATCGACTGATGGAGAAAATATTTACTTGATCTTTGCTGTAAACAGCTCTAATTGTTTGGGCGACGGTATAGTAAAAGACGATTTATTCATCCGGTACCATTAATGGATCCCCATCCTAAATGAGTGAGTACAACCCTGTCAACTTTGTTGACATTGTTTTGTGGTCAATAAAAAGTGTTTTTAATGTCAAATATGCAGAGAGTTTGATATGGAATTGTTAAACTTGAAATAAATGCTCACTCTAATACCAATTCCATTTAAAATAGTTGACATTAGGATTTATGTGATACCAGATTGATTTTTACATGGAAATATGATCCTATGTAACCCAAAATTGCATTTTTCATACTGACCACATGAGCAACACTTTTAGCTGACGTTCCATTCTCTTTAAGTACCAATAAAAGTGTTTTAATGCTAGAAGCGTCACAGAGTTTGATATAGAATTGAAAAACTTCAAAAGAATGTCCAGTACATATCAATTTCGTTTAAAATATGTGGTTGATTGGGACACCAGTTTGATTTTTCCATAGAAATATGATCCTATGTAAACCAAAGTTGCATTAGTCACGCTGAAAATATGGGTAACAGTTTTACTGACTTTCCAATTAAGACACCAAGTGTCTTAAAAAGTGTGTGTAATGTAAAAATAATAAAAAGTGTGATATATGATTGAAAAACTTCAAATAAATTTAGGGTCTTACATAAATTCCATTTACAATTGTTAACATTAGGGTTGATGTAACAAAAAAGTTGATTTTTAAATAGAAATAATGTAAAAGTAATGTATTTCTCTATTTTTTACATTGTTTCATTTTGACTATAATCTACTGTATACAAGTATGAGTATTCTTACTTGATATGGTTTATTCTTGTAGATTTCTTCAATCAACCTCTACCTATGTAGTACTCCAGAATGTTGCATAGACTTGAAATATTCTGCAACCACAACCAGCAACGACAATCATCTAGAGCTCTACCATTTCAAATATAATAAAAATAAAATCAATTTCGATACCATTCAGCTATTACCTCAAGCGACGATTGTGCCTAGAGAATCTAAACTTCAAGTTGAATTCGAACACCAAAGCCCTGCTTTGTTAGGAGAGTGGTATATAATTCAGATAAATGTGAAGAATGAGGAAGAGGATGAAATTCAAGACTTGAAAATAGATGTGTGGATCGAAGAGGAAATTGCCAATGGTAAGTTTTTAATAATATATATTATAAGTACTCTGCCTACATTAGGTGTGGGGTGAACTGAGTACCTTTATGCCTGATGCAGTCGGTCCCGAGCCCGGAAAAAAGAGGAGGGGAGAGGAGTAACACCTCTATTAAAAACCAGCGTTCAGCTGGCCGGGCTGATAGCACCCTGTAAGGCCCCTTGTCTAGGGTTACAGATAAACCGAATGATTGCCGGTATAAGCAATCTCCCACTTACTGACCAATGGCTTCGGGCGGATGAGTTGGTGAGTGATAGGGCACTCTGTTGTCCTGAGACCGAGAAATCAGTCTCAAAGGCATAGGAACCAAGAAATGGTCAATGGCATCAGGATGTAGAAGGCCAGGAGAAACCAGTACATTAAAGATCCTTTTGGATATTTCTAGTACAGCTTCTTATGACAGAAAAAGAAAGTATGCATACTTTTAATGATCATGGACTTCAGAATCCAAGATCCAGCAGGGGAAAAAGATCACAACCAGACCATGGGGCCTCTGAGGTCGTAAACCCACGAAAACCCTGTGTAGTGGAAGTCCACAAGATAACTACGTGGACGTCACAACTATGTTTGAAGGCGCAAAGTTACACAATATTAAGCTGGAAATGGTCAGACTAGACATTCTCATCCTAGGTATCTGCGAGACGAAATGGCTAGGGTCAAACATATTCGAGAGCAATGGATACATTGTCTACCACTCGGGAAAGACAGAAGGACCCAGACGTAATGGATTCGCAATTATTGTCAAAGAAGAAATTTGTAACTGTATTAGAAATTTGGTTCCTTTCAATGATCGCATCATGATGATACAGCTGCAAAATATATTAATGAATATTAATATAATATAAGTCTATGCACCAACAGCTGACAAACCAGATGAAGAAATTGACATATTCTACAACTAAATTAAACAAATTCTTCGGAGCACAAAAAACATGATGCTACGATTATTATGGGAGACTTCAACGCAAAAGTTGGTGCCGAAATAACACAAGATATAACCGGAAAGTATGGACTTGGAGAAAGGAACGAAAGAGGGCAGAGACTAATACAGTTGTACCAAGAAAAAAAATTGCACTATAAATTGAATGTATATTATTGCAAGATGTAACAGCTGTATGTTTATTTCTTGTAGTTCCAACCCTGTATATTTTTTCGCTATTAAGTAATCTATATGAGATCAAATTTTCCACTTTTATATGTACGAATCATAATAATATATTTACTTAATCAGTTTTGTTTTTCAGTTGAATTGTCGACAGAACCTTCCGACAAACAGAAAAAACTTAACTTAGTCCTTAATAATCCCACAACTTTAAACGTCCACGACGAAATCAACACTAATTTCTACGTGCGATCCAACATAATGTGCAAATGCAACATTCAAGTCAGACTGACCTATGTGCTGAGTGGCGAAAAGAACATTCAAAGTATCAAGTTGGAAACGGTGCAATTGTCTGTTATTGAACCTTTTGAAGTGTCTACGAAGTATATGTCTCTGCTAATGGCTGAAATAGATCAGTTCTACGTTACAGAGAAGTTTGGAATTATGAATTATATAACGTTTATGTCGCCATGCCCAATTGTTGTCGAAGACACCACCTTTGAATATGTAAGTTGTATTATATAGTCTAATATTTTAATTTAGGTTTATTTTTTAAAAGATCATCACGGTTCTTTACGTTTTAACGTCCATTTTGAAGACACATGGCGAATCAAGCGATTGGAAAAGTGTGATCAGTGTTCAAAATTACCTTTCTTCGCATTTATTTCATAAAATACAGCAGTCATATTTTAGTATCATACCCTGTACATAGACCGACTTTCTAAACAAGTAATTTTAATATTTCAAATTTTTTTAACATCGTTTATATCTAGTTTTCAACCCAAAACACCGTTTATGGTGTACAATATCTACAAATCGTTCTTCGAAGTATCGTTTTCATAATCCTCTGTCTCATTGGTTTAGATTTCTGGAAAGTTGGAACTCTCTCAGTTCTACTACATATGCAAGATACTTCGGGTTGGATAGCTGCAAGATTTAGTCCAGTCTTACTATTTTTATATGGTCCTTCGAGCCGGATAACTGCAAGGTTTCGTCTAGCACAAGCATGGATAAGTTGCATGCCAAGTGAGGCCATTAAGGCTACTCAGTCTGGCACTCGACATGGTTTGGAGTAATCTCTAGAATTATACATAGGATACAATGTATTTTCTGCGTAGCTAGAATGGAATAACGGTTTTCTTCACATTGCTTTGTAAGTGTGGTATTATCGAATCTAAAATTAACTAAGTCCACGCAACCTCGCGTTGTATTGTAGTAGAATAAACATCAGTAGGGTGGAGATTTTTAACTCAATATCGAATTTTGTTTATATGGGTACCTGATATTACCACAAAGGAAGCTGCATTATAGAATACAGTCACCGACAAAATTAAAATTTGCAGCGACCCTAAGTTATGAAAATAGAAACGAAGACCAGAAGAAGAATAGAATAGGAAAGAATACAATGGCACCAGGTAGCAAGGGATAAATTAAAATGGAAACGCGAAGGAGAGATGCTTCCAGGAACGGATAGTCAAGGTTTGTTAAAAGAAGTTATTAATAAAGAAAACTGTGTATCACATTTGAGAAGAAGACACTGACAAAATCTACAAAAACAAAGTTCTTAAAATGAAAAGGCTAATTATTCTTCCTCGTTTTAGTAATCTTGTCTTCCCAGCATTTCTGACAAGAAAAGAAAAGGTTATAATGTTCCTCACACTGCCAAAGATGGGTTTACAGCAGTGGTTCTCAAACTTTTTTAGTCGTGGCACTCTTGTACTGGTAAAAGTATTTCGAGGCACACCAACCCTTGAAGCGATTTTAGAAATGACAGAAAATGAAAAAAAAAATACAATTCTGAGGTTCATTTGATTTTAATATGTATAAACTTTATTTTAGATCAATAAAATACAGTACATTTGTTATTCAAATATCCTTGAAACTGTTACGATGATGTTTTCATATTATATCCTTTATAATTATGGAAATCTTTGAAAGTTTGGCCCTTAAATCCCTTGATGGTTGAATTTTGCTTCTGTATTTGTTTTTAATGTAAGCATATGCAGAGAAAGAAGGCTCACTAAGATAAGTCAATGTGAAACACACAAGTTTTTTCACTGCAACATTGCCAACATTATTGTCTGAATATACCTGCATCTAGAACTCTTCTTGGCTTTCTTCTCGGTATTTGAGTTTTAAACTGTTATCTTTGCTGATCTCAAGTAGATTTTGAAAAACTTTTTAGTTGCCAAAGAATGGCGATGTAAGATACAATGACCGCTGGAGGCATTTTTTCTGCCACTACCTTTATTCTAGACACCGTCCCTCTAATTTTACCAACCATTGCAGCCGCTCCATCACTGCAGATATCCACACATTTACTCCAATCTATATTATTTTTTCTTATATACTCCTGGATAGGCTTGTAAATTTCTTCACCAGTTGCATAACTTTTAAGCTCTTCACAAGTAAGGAGTTCTTTTTCTATTTTTATCCTGAATGGAAACCTCACAAACACAAGCTGTACTTTCATCAAGATGTAAACTGAAGAATTCACAAGTTTTTAATCTATGTATAAGCTCTTTCTCTCTACAAGGTGTGAAATAGTGTGAATTCTCTTGCTTATAGTGCTGTTTGACATCTGCACATTATCAATGTTCTTGGCCATATCTGGACTTAACATTCATTGTACAACATTCTTCACGCAAGGTTTAATCAGTTCCTCGGCAATGATATGGGGTTTTCCAGTTTTTGCAATGTGCAAACCAACAATAAATGATGCTTTAGTGACGTTTTCGATTGCATTTTTGCAGACTCTTTCCATGATTCATGACCCTGCCCGAAGAGATGAAGCACGACGTTTGAAGGTTTCTTCGGCCTTGTCGGCTAAACCAGGATGATTAGTTTCCAATTTTTTTTTTAATTTAGATGGAACCAAGCACCCATTGCAACAATTTTGTGATAATTAACGCATTGGTCTTCTGGTGCCTGTTCGTTGATAACTTGAATAAAGCCATATAACGTGAGATAGCTAGGATCATACCTTCGTATTTTTTCCCGAATTTCCTCCTTTGCACGAATTAAGGGAGAACAACGTGCTAGTTGTCACTGAATCAGTTGATTCAGATGCTTCAGTGACTTCACTACATTTCCTTTTCAAATACCCAGATTTCAGCCAATTTTCCATTATTCTGGAATAATGATATACAGAATGGCGACATTACCCAAAAGATTTGCATCACTAAAGCCTTCACTCACTTACGCCATAACACTTACTAGGGACGGTACTTATGAAGGAACTCCTGAATTTCTAATCTAAATAAAAAAAATAGAAATATGTAATTTTTGTTTCAGAATCATCTTGTTAGTCCCGAGGAATCCATCTACACCAGTCAAATAAAGGGTAGTGTTTTTAACAATGCAGAAATTGGTGGCGAACTTCACTTAGCAACCTGCAATAAAGTCTCCGAGCAGTCGATAAATGTTGGCCAATACCATGTAAAATGGAAAAGGTAAATAATCAAAACAATGTATATTTATACTCCGGCGAGTGACTTTTTTAAGTTTGGATACAAAAAAGTCACAGGGAGCTAAATCTTAGGAAAATAGGGTTAAGTCAAATTCGACAAGGTTTTACAGGTATTTTTGAGATACGAGATATATTATTAGCAGTTTTGAAGCAATTTCATGCGAGATACGTCTGTTTCGCTTAGTAAATTTGATGCATATAAATACAAAGACCTTACTCAGCCTTTGACGCAAAATTGGCAAAATATTGAGTTATTTTGGCTTAGGAGGGCAGTACAGGACAGTCTCAAACCTCTTCGAAGCACATTCGCTGCATGAAATAAACTCTTTTCACTGTTTCTTGTGCTCAATGTGCGACTACGTTGAATCCCGCCATCGAAGTAGAAGAGTCACCGTAAAACAACTGCAAGTCCGATTCGGCCAAAATTTTGACATTAGCCGTCTACCAGCCGTCGTGTACTTAATATCGCTTTAATCTCAACAGCTGGATTCGTAAAACAATTAATTAATTAAATTATTTCCATAAAAACTGTTAAACAATCAATTTCCTAATAGGTGACTTTGTTCCATATTTCAGAGTGGGAGGTGAAAGTACGACAACAACATTGGTTGTAACAGGTCTTCCTTGTAAATGGATTCCGGTGGGTTTAAAAATGGTTACACCAGCACACGGCTTCGTGAGAACTTCTATGATGCTGGAATACCATCTAGAAAACAGATCCCAACAACTAATTCAGCTAGAGTTGTCGATGGACGCAAGCGAAGCCTTTATGTTCTCCGGTTATAAACAGGTAAGAAGTATTTCAGTATTTTTATTTTAGTTGTGTCATTATTATTTTAAATCATAAAACAGGTAGTGGTTAGCGGATGACTTGCGGCCTTTATTACTTTGTTAGCGACAGAAAAGCAAATACTAGATCAATTAAGAAAAGTCAAAAGCCAATTATCAAATCGTCAGCTGTATGCAATAATAACGCAACACAAAAACTGGTAATTTTTCAAAAGAGGGGTTTAAAGTTTGTGTGCCGATAATTTTGAATTTTGAAAAATATAAATTTTAGTGTATTTGGGAGAGCGTTAGGTAGCCTTTAATAAATTGTAACACAGACTTTTTAATTCAACCCTTATTTTGAGTTGTGCCTCTATTGCACATCAACATTTTGTATTTCAACAATAGATAAGGTAAGGACAAAACTGGCATTTTTTGTTATTCCTATCAACTGAAATAAATGTTTCTGCAATAACTGCAATAAAGAATACTACAAGTTACTTGAATGAGAAAATTTGTTTATTAACTTTCTTTTTGTTTATTTGTCTTTCGGTACTTCAGTGTCCACATTTTCATCAGAGATCTCTGTAAATATTGACAATAAATCATTATCATCATTCACGTAATGAGCGTCCGCATCAGAATCATCAACGTTAGAAGATTAAGAGCTTAACGAACTTCCAGAAGTGGTGCGTACCAATTTAGAACTGCTACCTAAAACAAACAAAAAAAGACAAATATTAAGAAGAAATTAACTTTGTCAGAAACTTAGTAAATTGACCAATAGCTAAAAAGAAAACAAATAAATCTCTTGCATTATAAAAAGAACAATTTCGTACTTATTTTCTGCTCTGCATCGATGCACTCCGTGTATTCAGAAGTAACATTCTCCATATCTAGTTTATTTTTTGGGTAGATTTACTGTTTAAACCGTAGATGTAAACAAATCGATAGTACTAAATCGATTATTTGGAATTATACATTAAAATAATATTGATATTATTACTTACGTTACTCCTGCTCGATATAGGATTAATTCACTTCTTTTCTGATATCTCTTTGGATCTGAAATTTTTGTCTGCAATAGTGGCACAACCCAAAAGTGCCGGTATTGCATACACTTGGTATCGACACGGTTCGACTTTCACTGCACAACCATGGACGTATAAGTTTATACGTCCATGTGCACAACTAAAAAGGACCAGTACTGTAAGAAACAATTTATCTCAACTTACAACATGTCATAGCGACACTAGTGACGTCTAGCGGCCATTTTTGCTAGACAAAATGTCCTTTAGCGGACATTATTATTGTGTCAGTTTTGCAGGTCATAAATAAGGCTATTCTTTAAGCCCTCTGGTGAAGTTAACTAAATTTTGTCAATTTTTGCGTTAAGTCATTATTGCATACAGCCGACGAAATATCCTCTCTGCCTCTGGTTTTATAACAATAACATACTGTTTTTTTTTTAGTTTTCAGTAACTTTGTTGCCCGTTTCAACGAGAGTGCTCCAGTACAACCTTTGCCCTATGATAGCTGGAAGTGTGGCCCTACCAAAATTGAGCCTGAAAATTTCAGAGTCCAGTGAAAATGAAGTGGCAATTATTCAGCAAGAAGAATTAAATTTTTTGATAAGTCGGTCCTTGCCCACACATGTTTATGTGATGGTAAGTTTACTCGTTATGATCTGACCTTATTGGAGGTATTTGTTTCAGTAGGTTTATATTTAATAAATTCCACTCTCCAAATGCATTCAAATATTACTTTGAGCAAAACATATATAGTTTACTAAATCCATTTGCTAGCTTAAGCACAGTAGTCCACTACTTTGACAAATTTTCGATAATACCTTAACGAACTGATCCTGAACTGAAGTTTTATTCAAATTATACCACAACATAGTTCACAACTTTTTGCCGATAAAAGAAGAAGTGAAGAAGAAGAAATTACCGAGACGTCAAACAATTTTGGCAAAAATTCTAAGTACTAATGAGAGAAACAATCCAACATCGCTTTAATTTAAAATTGAATAACACCATCTTAAATAATATACAAAATAAGGCTGGGTCTTTTAAAAATGCGCTCCAAGACCCATTCAAAACGCAAATTTGACGATTCCGACAGGATACAGAGCAGCGAATTAACGATTTACTTCTTGACCCCTAAGAGACATTCATCACCCGATAGTGGTTCCAGTAGACATAGACACCGTCAGGAGGCTATGCAGCTATTGCAAAAGCACTCCCCTGTCCGGGGGAAGATGACATCGACAGAAAATGCCTCAAACAACGTTCAGGTAGCGTCTGCCTGCTGTTAGTCAAAATAATTATCAATGCAAGTCTTCGGCTGGAATATGTTTCTACCTCCTGGAAAATAATCTGCACAGTCATGTTCCCTTACCAAGTGAAATCGCTCACCAGCACTGAATAATACAGACCTATTTCTCTATACGTAAGATCTACGAGAGAATCCTTAAGGAAAGACTCATAGAACACCTGGAAGTTCACATCATATAAACTTCCATTGACACTCAAGTCTAATCAAAAAATTCCACCAGTTCCGTTCCTAAGAATAATACGCTCATACCTCTGCTTGAATTGTTTGGGAATGTTCTGTATTCAACAAAGCCCAAGCACACCTCTCGACGTGAATTCAAACCATCAGTATCCTATTTGGGTGTCGAATTTACAAAGACACTCAATTGGAACACTGATATGAAAAATACCCTAACTAGGATAAGAAAGGGGGCTAACCCCCTGGCAGTATTATACTGAAAATTGGATGATGCCAAACATCATACTCTCCTTCAGAAGTACAAAACCTTTATCAGGCCTATTATCGAGTATAGACCGAGACTCTACTCCACACCAAATAAACGTCAAATGAACAAACTTATAACAACAGAGCGGAACATCCTGATGAAATTATGGGCAAATGTCATGACTGTTCTTCAGCACTAATCCTATAGTTACTTCTACACCCTTACATACCGCTTGAAGTATCCAGCATAAGCCAAATACGCTGATCAAAGAGCCGCTGACGTTGCCAAGAACTAAGATGTAGTAATTAGCAGAATTGGATGTCCTACTGTGAGCAATGTAATACAGGTCCATTACCTCTCCATCCTTTGGTTCTACCAACAGGTGTCCAATACAACCTCTACTTTTAACCCCAATCCAGAGTCATACAAAAAACAAAGCAGCCATTAATGTACTTCCAATTTTTGACCAAACAGTTAATGGGTCCGATCAAACAAAGACAAAAGCTAACATTTCAGCTAATCATTTAGCAGATCCTTGAACAAATAAAAATTCTACGTGAACGATCACTATAAATGGAATATAAGACGAACTTTACAATATGAGTATCTTTTTGTCAAATCATTAGTTTGTTTTTCATGGACACCATGGTCCACAAAATAGTAAAAAAAAATCGATAAAAGCCAAAAAAATTATGTAACGTTCTGTGCCGTGACTTCTTCCAAAATAAAAAAAACAACCTAGTAACTAAACTGAAATCATTATTAGCATATAGTTCTGTCAACCACAAAAAAACGTAGCAGGGGTTTCTCTAGGAAGTGTACTTAAGACATTACCGCTCCTGATCCTGAAGGAAGATTACATGAGCATACTTCGTTGGTGATATATCACCAATACATTTTTCCTTTGCCATAATTTTTAGTATATCGAGTGTCAATATAATTAACTCTATATACAATCTTAAGGTATAATTTTTTACAAATATAAGAAATTTTCTTTACAGCCTCAGTTGAAGGGAAGTGTGGAGATTTCAAACATGTTGTCGACGGAAAATGTTGCAGTTGTAGGATAAAGTGTTTTATATTGTACTAAAGATAATTATATATTGTTATAGCGAAACTTTTTTGTTTTCTTTTTAACCACATTTACCCCCGATTTTCCTTGTGCTATCGGTTTTGATCTTTCTTTATGAGTAGAAGAATTCAATAACGTGTTGTAAAATTTGACCAGATAATCTATATAGAACGGCGATTTAGCACTAGATGTCCGACTTTCCTCTCCAGAAGTCTGTTTTCGTTCACACTACGACACATTGCGGTCTAATTAGGACTCGTGAGGCAGCAGCAAATATAAGACAGATTCGTTGAGAAAAAGACCCTAATCAAATTTCTCACCTTATGGATGGACAGGCTAAGAGGTGCCATCAGTCTCGGACAACAGAAAATAGGCACTACATTGTGTGTATAACTACGTATAATAGTGACCTCTAAAGGTGTAGTCTCTCTTATGCGATTGTCGCATGCGTTTTGACGCAAACGATGCGCTGTGCCCTCGTCAAACTTTAAACAAGCGACCTGCCTTATGCGTCCGATGCAAGGAATCGCATTATCTGCACATGATGACTGTGCTCTTCAGCGACCAAATGCGTTGAATTCACAAACCACTAAAAAATTAAGCGTTTGTAGGTTATCGACACGTGTTCTGTGAGAAGAAAGGAGCTTTTGTTTACAATATAAAACTTTATTTATATTTTTGTTTTTATTTAAAAAATACAAGCTAGTCGTAGGGCTAATTTCTGAGAGATCAGATCTCTACAATCCAAAACATAATGATTATAAAGACTTAAAGAAGAAGCACAACGTTCTTTGTTAAGTATTTGTAGCTCCCGACTTAAGTTTTTCTCTTTACGATGGTTATTATAAGTATCTTCTAGGGCTATTTTTTGTTCACTGTCCGAATTTTTGTATTTTTCACAATAGTGACATTCATGACATAGTTAAATTCATAATTAAAAAGTTTAAAATATAAACTAATTTTTGCAAATTTATCATTGTCTCTTTGGCAATCAACTTTATAATGATTGTACAGATCTGTCAATGTTTTCCTCCTATATATTTTTTTGAGGTACTACTTCAACAATAGTGGCTCTCCATTGTCGGAATTGAAGAAAGGGTTTTATGAGCCCTGTTCACAGTTTCGTTACAAAATGTTTTATGCATGCTATATTTACCTCTTTGACCGTTGCTTATAAAGCCACTTTTCGTCTTTCCAATAAGCAGTTTTGCAGGTCATAAATAAAGCTTTTTCATCCCTCTGGTGATGTTAACTCAATTTTGTCAATTTTTGAGTTAAGCCGTTATTGCATACAGGCGATGATATAGTTTTTTATTATTTTAAACAAGTTCTTGTAGTACATTTCTCGGGATATATTTTGAATTTGCCGCCCAAAAGTTTTAGTTTAAGGCCAGCATGCGTGAGGCGCTACAGACTCTATTCCAGGGGTGCTCAAACGGTCTATCGCGATCGACTGGTCGATCGCGAGTGCTTTTTGGGTAGAATTCGAGAAGAAAATAAATTTTAATAAGTAGGTAGGTAACTAAACTACTGTCAGCAGAGTTAAACGTTTTTATTAAAACTGAACTATACAAATACATAGAATGCTTGACTAAGCATCATTGCAATTCAAAGAAGTGGGGACAACAAAATACTGTCCACACAGCATATTTTATATTTACATTATTAACTAATTATTTTATTAATTCAATATTTATTATAATTATTAATCAAATTTGGGATGATATTCTATCAACTACAAAAATGTATTACGTAATAAAATAACACTGCTTGCGGCAAAAGGTGGCTTTATCAAAGGAACGCGCGGCACTTGTCAAAGAAAAGCCGTGTTGTTTCTAGACGAGAGACAGTACAGTCTAGTTTCGGGCGGCGCGTTTGACGGGAACATTCGAGACTTTCGTTCACGCCGATATAAATGTTGCGCCTGCAGGAATTGGAGTTATTCTGAATTGTAACTTGATAGCGATCCTACGTCGATACAAAGTTTATTAATTAATAGTGGAAAATGAGTGCAGTGAAGAAATCTAAAACGTATCATTTAATAAGGATTGGGAGGAAGAATTTTTCTTTCTATGGTGAAGGATAAGTTCATTTGTGTTATTTGTCGTGCATCAGTTGCAATACTTAAGCGTGGTAACTTAGAGAGGCGTCATAAAACATATGAAAAGGATTTTTCGCCACAGAGTGAATTAAGAAAACGAAAAGTAAGTGATTTGATATCTTGTTTGAAAAAAGAACAATCCATGTTCACAAGACCAGCCAAACAATCAAAAGCTGCTACGATCGCGTCATTTAAAATATCTCATATTTTGGCGAAACACAAGAAACCATTTGAAGATGGATCGGTGGTGAAGGAAGCATTTATTGAAGCGGGTGAGACTTTATTTGGAGATTTTAAAATAAAACAGAAATCATGTCTGCTATTAGAGAACTTCAGTTATCTCGTCCGACTGTCACAAGGCGTATTGAAGTCATGAGTCAAGACATCGCAGATAAACTAAAACATGATATCATGGAATGTACATACTTTTCTTTACAGTTCGACGAATCCATCGATATGACAGACACTGCCCAGCTGTGTATTTTTATTCGGATGGTATTCAATGACATGTTGGCTAAGGAAGAATTTTTGACAATCATTCCTCTGAAGGGGAAGACCCGTGATTCCGCGAAGATATATATGACGTTTTCTTAAATTTTGTAAAAAACTGCGAGCTACCAATATATAAATTAATGTGCATTACAACCGATGGAGCACCAGCAATGACTGGAAACAAAAACGGTTTTTGTGGCATTGTGTCGAGCTAATGAAGAATTCCCTTCATTTTTTTCATTCCATTGCATTATACATCAACAAGTTTTGTGTTAAAAAGTTTTAAACACGGAGGAAATTATGGGCATTGCAACAAAAATTGTGAATTCTATCCGTGCACGTAGCTTGCAACGGCCGCTCTTTCAGTTGCAGTTGGAAGATAGGGAGTCAGCTGAACACACTGATTTAGTTCTTCACACGGACGTCAGGTGGTTGAGTCGCGGAAAATTCCTAGAAAGGTTTCAAGAATTATTGCCCGAAATAACAGCTTTTCTAGACGAAAGAGGTGATGACACTCAGATTTTGAAAAACGAAAAATGGCTAAATGATTTGGCATTTTTGACTGACATCACAATGCACTTAAACACCGTTAACTTGGAGCTTCAAGGTAAAGGAAAAACTATTATTAAGATGATTGGCGCAGTAAACGCATTCAAAAGTAAATTGCAACTTATGATAGATCAACTGAAAAGAAAGGATCTGAACTATTTTCTGTCTTTGAAAGCAAGGATTCCTCAGTTGAATTATGATACGATGAGGCTGAATTATCAAATATTTTGGGAAAATTCGAAATGCGTTTTTATGATTGCAGTAAATTGGAAAATATAGCATCATTTATGAGTTATCCTTTTTCATGTAAAAACATTGAGGAATTAGCTACTGAAATAGCAAGTCAGTTTAATATGAACTCATGTTCTGTTGAAAATGAGTTGGTGCACATTATATCAGATATACATCTCAAAGCTATAGTATCTGATACAAATTTCTGGCGTTTTACATCTGAAGATAAATATCCGAATGTAAGGCAAATCGCCCTTCAACTGACGGCATTTTTTGAGACAACTTACTTGTGCGAGTCTGCATTTTCTGAAATGAAGATAATTAAGTCAAAATATCGCAATCGACTAACTGACGATCATATGACATCATACTTGCGATTAGCACTCAGTGGTTACGTACCATCTTATGAAAAGTATGCTGAGGACATGCAGTGCCACGCTTCAACATCCAAAGCCACTCCTTAGTTAAGTTTAACACCATATGTAACTCTTTTGTTTTGTAACGACAAATAAACTCGCAATTTTGAATAGCTATGAGTTTTTTCATTGATATTGTAGAGAAGAACCTAACTAAACCTAACCCAAACCTTGACTAAAATAATGTACCTATATTGTGCAGAAAGCTAATATCTATATATGCTACGATACGCCCTACCTAGGTAGGTAGGGTGTATCGTGTATGTACGACAACCCTGCATCACACGCACTTGCAGTCTCTCAGAGTCGATCGTAAGTAGTCTAAAAATATTGAGGTAGAACGCCAGCAGTTCAAGTTTGAGCACCCCTGCTCTATTCCTACTATAGTAAGAAGTATATAGGAAATAACCCTTGTTACTGTAGGAGATACCATGCTAGAAAGGTATGTGATGTGACTAATCTTGGGATTGTTCCTTATCTATGCTTTAACCCTGATTTCTTCAGTGTTGTGCATATTTCCATCAAATTTTGGGACTAGAAAAACAAAAATTTTTGTTGCTAGACTTTATTTATATAAACAATAAATAGTAAACAACTGTATAAAAATTTGCTTTTCGAAAAGACCTAAATACGTTTTCATTTTTTTACCCTTGCAGGATATAACTGCAATTTTGATCTAAATTGGTCGATGTTGCTAATAAAATAATCAGGACCTTTTGCCTCGACTATTTCGTTATCTAAAATTGTTAACTCAATTTTCTTGGTGAAGCTGGACTCAACAGGTTCCCCTTTAGAAGCGTCGTCCGGAACGTGGCCGACCACTTGAACGCTGATTTTTCTAAAACTGCTCTTTGTTCCAAAATAGTTGTGCCTATTCCACCAGTTCTTCACGTCCTCCTGAAGTATCTGCTTAATCTCCTCGATTTCTTGCTTAGACCGGTCAAACATGTAATCGTCATTTACGATCTCCGTCCAATTTCGGTCTACTTCTTCTTTTAAATGAGAATCGACTATTTCCTTAGTTTCAATTAATCCTTGTTTCATTTCTTCGTATTCTTTTTGTGAACTCTTTTCTATTATTGTTTCGGTGTGTTTCAAAAACTCCTCTATTCTGTTGTCTAGATGTTGCGTTGTAAATTTGTTGGCTTGGGAATTAACGGTGATGGAATATCCCAAAACGCCGTAAGTATCCCTTAAGGCACAGTAAACATGGTAACCTAGTTGTTCCTTTGTTCGTAGTATATCGAACAAAGGTTCTTCAATTATGAACATTATTATGTCTATCATCACACTATCTTTTAGCGAATACGGACCTACTTGGTAATAGTTGGCAGTGATAGAGTTGGAGTCACGTTTATTAAATGATTCGACTTTCAAACATTTTTCTCCTAAAGGTATTTGAGCTACAACAAGAGCTGGATACTGGTTTTGGGGAAGTGGATCGTAGTTTAAGGTATTAACAAATGTTTTAATAGTGTCAGAAGCAACTTCTGGCAAAACGTTTCCTTGAACTAGAGCTTTAACGTAGAAATTCTTGATGTACTTATGAATAAATTCTTGCACGTCTGCATAAGTGATATCGAGCAGTGCACCGTATTTGTCAACTGGGGCAAAATACTGTCCAATAAGCAACTTCAGGCGAGTATCTTTTGCCAGATTGGCTGGTTTGAGTATTTTATTGAAATAGTATTTTAACATCGTTTCTTTGATCACTAGGAACATGCATTCATTAATATAGTTTTGTAGATTTTTGACGTATTTTGCTACGACCTCGATCAAATTCGGAATTTTCTCGTTGAAACCGCCTATTTTTATCACAATGCCTTTTTCCTCACAGGTGAATTGGTGTTGTATATTGGCCATATTTGCTGGATAGACTTCTTCTCCTATAGCAAAACTTAAGAGATTCATAAACATTTCTGTTAAAACTAAACTTTTGGCAGACTCTAGAGTACTTGGATTGATTAAATAAAAATGATAATATGCCATTGGCAGTTTGAACTTCTCGTCTTTTCTGTACCACATCTCGAACTTGGGAGTATCCATGATTTTCTGAGGATAGTCAGGATGTTTGGGTGATTTCGGTAATAGTGAGAAATTGGTCGACAAATATGGATTGACGGGAGGAATGTTTAGTTCTGGGTAAGGTTTAACAGTTTCCCATTGTGTTATACGATCTTTAGGAATTTCTATGGAGGTATATTCAGCCTTAAACCATTTTTCAGTTTTATCAAACACTAAACCTTTTGGTAGATCTTTAGTGGTGATCATAATATTAACTTTTTTGGGCACTAAAGAGTCAGTGACCATTGTAATAGCCTTCGGATCATATTCATAGAAGAGTTCAGATCCAGCCAAATAATCCTCTGGCGGATAAAATTGCATAGCTTCACACAAATTTTCTACATTATCAACCGGAGTTTGCTCTGAGGCAAATCTAAAAGTAGTGTCTGCTATTAATTTTTGTTCATCGAAAAGTCTCCTCTGAGGGCCAACATTTCTGAGCATATTAATGTATGAGAATACTGCTTCAATGACGTTGTATATGTGAACTAAACCGTTTTCGGTTAAACCTATGGATACATTGAATATAGCATACATAGAATTATGCTCACCTCCTGAATCTTCATTTCCTGAAACATTTAAAAAAAGTTCTTAAATGTATAAGAGAAATTCTTTCTGAAATAAAAACTGCAAAAATATTTAAATGTACTCTTATAAGAAACTACTCTCTAAACCGCCTGACATTTGCTAGTCCTCGGGCGCCTCCCCAGACGACAGATTGGCGAACCCTCCCAGATATAGGTGGTACCACCGCAGTGGGTGGTGAAGCTTTAGGAGACATTCGTTCCACTTTCCGAGTTTGAATTTGTATCAGCCCAAGTGTCTGATGAGGATGGGTAGGCCGAAATTAGTCATAACACTTTATTGATACCGATTCGAACACGGGAAGTTTAACGAATTTGTCCTCCTAGGCCATATATTTGGCCTTTTAATACAACAAAGCGATAGCAGCTTTTTGAAAAATTTATTCTTTTACATATATATATCCGGGTGTCATTTCGGGTGTAACGTCAATTTTGTAATAGGTCCCGCCAAAAAATATTCGATAAAATTATTAAAAACCCGGTTTTTTCGGCTAAAAATAAAGTAAGCCTCGTCTATAGCGTCATAAAATTTTACCCTAGGTTGTTTTTTAATTTATGAATAATAACGTGCAATGCGTTTCCGTCTTTGCGGTATTGTTCCTTCCAAGAATGTGAGAAAGCCCAATTATCCCTTTTGTGTACAGTTATGTGACCTTGACAGTTCTATGATTGCACATTTCATCAGTGCCATCCTAACAGTCAAATTTTCTGTTTGACAACAGTCAGTTTAAGAAGTTTTCGCTACCATGAAATTGTGTTTGGCTCGTTTTGTTTTCAGATTTTAATTTAGTAATTATTTTTTTTATTTTTTAATATGGTAAGTTGCAGTACTAAAAGGAAGGCTTTGCGTATTAAAGATAAATTGGGTATTATAAGAGAATTGGTCAAAAAATTGCTGATGTATGTCGGCAATTTGTTGACTTGTTATTTCGACTGTCGGCCCAATCTTAAAAAACAAGGACAAAATTTTAAAAGCCTTTAATGAGGAGGGAGACAATGTCAAAAAGATTACGAAGTGCACTCGTGGTCATTTAGATTCAGCTCTGGTCAAATGGTTCAAGCAGTGTCGCAGTTCTGATATTCCTGTGTCCGGGCCACTTTTAAAGGACAAAGATACAGAGTTCGGAAAATTGTTTGGTGAAGATTTTACATGCTCTATCGGCTAGATCTGTTTAAAGCCCAGCACTCAATTTCCTTTGGACGAGAACGTGCCAGGTGATTGGTTACAAAACACATGGCCACAACTAAGGCAACCATACAAAAATGAAGATATCTTCAATGGCGATGAAACTGGTATCTTTTACAAATTAACGCCAGACAAAACTTAAAATTTCAAAAATCAAAAATGTGTCGGTGGAACGCTTCAAAGCATAGAGTCACGGCTTTTGTTTGTGCAAAAATTACAGATACAGAGAAAAGAAAGCTTTTGGTTATTGGGTTGCAGCCTATAGACCAAGGAGTCATAAGAAGTTTAAAGTGCCATTATCGCGAACAGCTTTTGTACAAAACAAGGACAAAATTTTAAAAGCCTTTAATGAGGAGGGAGACAATGTCAAAAAGATTACGAAGTGCACACGTGGTGATTTAGATTCAGCTCTGGTCAAATGGTTCAAGCAGTGTCGCAGTTCTGATATTCCTGTGTCCGGGCCACTTTTAAAGGACAAAGATACAGAGTTCGGAAAATTGTTTGGTGAAGATTTTACATGCTCTATCGGCTGGGCAGATCTGTTTAAAGCCCAGCACTCAATTTCCTTTGGACGAGAACGTGCCAGGTGATTGGTTACAAAACACATGGCCACAACTAAGGCAACCATACAAAAATGAAGATATCTTCAATGGCGATGAAACTGGTATCTTTTACAAATTAACGCCAGACAAAACTTAAAATTTCAAAAATCAAAAATGTGTTGGTGAAACGCTTCAAAGCATAGAGTCACGGCTTTTGTTTGTGCAAAAATTACAGATACAGAGAAAAGAAAGCTTTTGGTTATTGGGTTGCAGCCTATAGACCAAGGAGTCATAAGAAGTTTAAAGTGCCATTATCGCGAACAGCTTTTGTACAAAACAAGGACAAAATTTTAAAAGCCTTTAATGAGGAGGGAGACAATGTCAAAAAGATTACGAAGTGCACTCGTGGTGATTTAGATTCAGCTCTGGTCAATCAGTCTGATATTCCTGTGTCCGGGCCACTTTTAAAGGAAAAAGTTACAGAGTTCGGAAAGCTGTTTGGTGAAGATTTTACATGCTCTATCGGCTGGGCAGATCCGTTTAAAGCCCAGCACTCAATTTCCTTTGGACGAGAACGTGACAGGTGATTGGTTACAAAACACATGGCCACAACTAAGGCAACCATACAAAAATGAAGATATCTTCAATGGCGATGAAACTGGTATCTCTTACAAATTAACGCCAGACAAAACTTCAAAAATCAAAAATGTGTCGGTGGAACGCTTCAAAACATAGTCACGGCTTTTGTTTGTGCAAAAATTACAGATACAGAGAAAAGAATTTGGTTATTGTGTTGCAGCCTATAGACCAAGGAGTCATAAGAAGTTTAAAGTGCCATTATCGCGAACAGCTTTTGTAAAGGATGATTTTTGTATGGACAATGGGGAACTGAACATTACCATCTTTGATGCAATTCAGTTTTGAGACAATACATGGAGTGCGGTTACGTCAATGACAATTTGTAAGTGCTTTTGTCAAGCGAAATTGACTGTAGTTTCTCTCAATGTTCAGGATGTTGATGACGAGGATGACGAAATGCCTTTGCTAATGATACAAAAATTTAATATAAACCATGGAGTTTGGAACTGATTTTGACTCCTACATTTCAGTAGACGATCAGGTAGAAATATTTCAAGTTTTAAGTGATAAAAAAATTGTGAAAGAAGTGCAAAATGTGGAAATGAAGAAAAGTTTTGCCAGTTCAGAGAGGCATCCACAACTACCAAAGAAGCAGCTTAGATTATTAAGGACACTACAGAAAAACTTTATTTTTCGGAAAGGGTTGTGCAGAAGAAAATTACTGACTTTTTACAGTAATAGAGAACTTTTTCATAAAAAAAATATAAGTTTCATATACATGATAGATTTTATTTCTTAATTTTTTTATCCTAAATGCAGCTGACAGTGTAAAATTTGGAGACTGACAATGAGTCACCCTCTTCAATTTATTCTTGGACTATAATAATACGCAATATGAAGCATTTTTTTTGTCTGACACATTAGAAGTGATGAAAAATACAAATATTTTTTTTACACGATTTTAGTAAAAGAAAGTTTAGTTTTCTTAATAGAAAAAAATCTTGTATCAATTGAAATTACTTAAACCATTTCCAAAAAGTCAGTAAGGTTATTCATTTGATGAAATGTATGAATTTTAAATTTTGATAATTAGACAATCATTGCAAATCGAATTCTAGTATCAATCTTTTATTGTTTTGTTTATTTTACATCTTTTATTGACAGGTATTCTTTTAATTTTTTACTTTTCATTTAATGTCTGTAGTTATTTTTAATGCAGTTTTTTAATTTAAACCTGCTAAAAATAAATTTATGTAGATTAGAAACAAGACTTGATCATGAGTAGTGAATCAATGTGAAGAACTGTTATTTCATGACACTAGCTATGATGCACTCTCGTTGCGCTACATCTGTAATGCTAGCCTCAATATTTTACTATAGAGAAAACAGTAATACATCGTCAGTATAGAAGCTTCCCTCCAAAATGTTATTTATAATCTGAGCTAATGAATTTATTAATTATATAAGATGGAACATTGTTATTTAGCTCCCATCTATACCTGGAGCTCAAAGCATAAAGACAAAGTATGGAAATCAGAAATGAGGGCCTGCAAGTAAATGAGGAGAAAACTAAGATGATGGCATCAACACCCAACAATAGAGCCAGGAACATCGGTCCCCAACTCACGGTTGATAACTCTACCTTTGAAGTGGTTGACAAATTCACATACTTAGGCTCCCTGATCACCAAAGAGAACGCCATAACGGAAGAAATGAACCAAAGGATAGTAATGGCAAACAGATGCTATTTTGGACTGAGTAGACATTTGAGAAGTAGAAACTTAAGCCAAAAAACAAAAATATCTATATACAAAACCCTTATACAGCCAGTGTTGACATATGGATTGGAGACATGGACCATCTCCAAGGCAGACGAAGACCTTTTGCTTATATTTGAATGAAGGATCCTAAGAGGAATATTTGGTGGCATCTGTGAAAATGGTGTTTGGAGAAGGAGATACAACTACGAGGTATACCACAGATATAAACAAATATTTGGTGGTAAAGATGTAGTATCTCTTATAAGAATAGGAAGACTAAGATGGGCTGGACATCTAGCAAGATCACAGCAGAACAACCCACCTAGAAGAATCCTTATGTCACAACCCGTGGGAAGTAGAAAAAGGGGTAGGCCAAAACTCAGATGAAAGGATGGTGTAGATGAGGATCGTAGAAAGATAGGCACATCAAACGGGCAACTGTTGGCAATGGATAGGACTGCCTGGCGTAGTAGACTTGGGAAGGTCGAGGCTCTTTCATAGGGCTGTAGCAACATTGATGATGATGATGATGATGGAAATCAGAAATATTAAATGTATTTTATGTAATTAAAACAAAATGTAAATCGTTTTTTTAGTATAATATTCATATTTTGTAATTTGTATAATCTTTTTAAAACTGTTTTTATAATGTTTATATTCTTAGAATAACTTGTTATTATCTTTGTTTTTGTAACCGAATTTTTAAATTTATCTCTATGTTTTATAGATTAAACAATACATTAGTGATAATCCCTGATTAAATTTTTGTATGATTTGTAATAGTTTTTGTTTTATATGGAGACACTCATTGGATAAGTTGATAGAGGTATTGTTAATTTGACACACCTGTTCAGGATTGTTTTATCTCACTTTACTGTTTGGATTTTAATTTCAAATTTCATATTATGTACTTATCACTTTTATCTCTAGATCTTTTTTACAGTACTGTTTGTAATACTATTATTTAAATAAATTGGTTAATGATGAGTGATATCAGTATCTATGAAGACCTAATCAAATTAATACAAGATTATTTGGTTCTAGTTTTTTTCTTATACTTACTTTACTTTACTTTATCGTATCCGGACATGTCATTCATAAAATTTCTGCCCAGTATCGGGCTACGTCGGTTCCATCTTTGTTGGCGAGCCACAAATCTTCAAGGGTACATCGATGAGGACAGTTTCTGCATGTAAGAAGATGTTCCATATTCTGTGTTTCTCCACAGTCACAGTTCACATCATCTTGGTTTATTTTTCCCCATTTTGCCATGTTTGATTTTACTGTAGCAACCCCCGTTCTTATCCTATTCAAGGTTTTCCACGTTTTAAAGTCTAGGGTCTGGCCGGTCCATTGAACCTAGGGAAGTGGAAAATACTCAGGCGGTTCATCCTTCACTGTTCCAAGGAAACTTTTCCTAGATTTTAGTCGCTTTCGTGGTGTTCGAGCTTTGTATAGGGCATGCCGATCGTCCGCGATCTGTTTAATTTTCTCTATGTGTTCTGCAGCGCCTCTGCGTGTTGAGGGTTCTGCAAAACCCGCTGCTCTATATAGATTTGAAAGTGGCGTTGGTTTCATGCACCCCGTTACTATCCTGCATGTCTCATTTAGCGCAGTATCAACTTGTTTGGTGTGGGCAGATCTGCTCCAAATGGGGCATGCATATTCAGCAGTTGAGAAACACAGTGCCTGTGCCGTTGTTCTTAAAACGCCAGGACGTGCGCCCCATTTACTTCCCGTTAGCTTTCTGAGTATGCTGTTCCTAGTTGTTACTTTCCCTCTTGTTTTTATGCAATGTTGTTTGTAGGTGAGGGACCGGTCCAGAGTTACTCCAAGATATATAGGTTGGTTTATGTGTTCTAATGTATTACCATTCCATACAATTTGGAGTTTTCGCTTGGCTTCCTTTGTGCGAAGGTGGAAAGCGTTTTTCTTATACAATTGTGGTAGTTAATACAGGAACTGGTTTCTAGGAATAAGATAGAAGTATAATTCTTTATAGTGGTTGCAGCAGGATTTAATATATCAAAATTATGTAACCTATAAAATTGTCTAGATATATTATTACTTTCCAGATTAGCTGGAAATGGTTTAAAGTTTGTTATATATGGTAGAGGAAATTCACAACAAATTAAACTAGAATAATCGACAATAATTTAAAAGTAATAACGACCAAATATTTTCTATAAGAGTACATTTGTCTTAGGTATTTATTGTTGCAGTTTGGATCCAAAAATGAATTGATTGAACTAAATAAGAAATAAAACCCTCACCTGCTTGTATTGAAGTTGCCCATGACTTGCTCTTTAAATAAGACAACAAACTCCCTTTCCCCTCATCTCCTAAAAGACTGGACACATAACCCATTGGTTTACTTTTGTACATATGTTTGAGTGATGGTAAACTCCAATTTAAATCTACCTTAATCAGCTGCTGTAATGGTTTGATGTAGTAAATTCTATTAAATTCTGGAGTGTCGAATACACCTTCTTTAAAGGCACTGAAATCATCTTTATCTAAATGATTGTTTGGGACATTGGAGAAGCACTCCACTACATATTCCTGGAGAGTATCCAAGGGCAGCCTTGCTTGAATAGCCAAAGTCATTCTATGAGCAGAGTAATGCCTTTTCCGAAAAGCATGCACTCCCTCATACAACTTATCATCACTGATATCATCTCTTAAAGTCTTTAAATTACCCCAACCAAATGCATTAACAGGAGATTCAGGCTTGGCCAATTGAAGGAGTAGTTGTTCTCTTCTGTGTGGATCTGAAGGCAATGCCATTTGAAATTCAGACTCTATAGCCTCTCTTTCCCTTGTCATTGCCCCTTTCTTCATTAAAGGGGAAATAAAGAATTGAGCAAATTTATCTAGTGCTTCGTGTAAACGTTTTTCAAGACACTCGAAATAATAACAAGTTGTTTCCATGTCTGTTGAGGCATTGTCAGTACCACCACATTTCTTTATGAACGAATCGAAATCATTTTCTGCTGGAAATTTTTCACTACCCATAAAAACCATGTGTTCCAAAAAATGAGCCATACCTGAAAACATGGTGTATCGTAAAAATGTTCCAATCATTAACAACAAAAGATCTACACATGTTCCAATCATTAACAACAAAGGATCTACACACAAAGATGCATTTACACACAAATACAAAAATATTGCAAGAAGGATTACAGTTTAAAACAAAGGATTGTCAACCGAAAATAGCTACAGCTACATCTGAGAGTACACATACAGCTTGCATGATGATAAACTCACTAATGATATGAACTGACAGTAATTACATATACACCACAAAAACTGACATGTATCTTTCACTCAAATTAAATATCAATAAGTCAAATTGGTATAAATCATTTCTTTCTACTCTCATACTAGAACACCAACAACAAAGCAGGTACACAAACATACCTATCTCTCTATCTTACCTGGAACTTCCTTGGGATCACTAAAACTTCCTACACCAATACAAAGTGCAGCCGCAGCCATCTTCTGATCTGGAGTGGAAGTGGTTTCACCAGCCTCAGAAGAACTATCACTACATTCAGAATCAGATTCTGAATCTGATATTTTGTTGTCGGACTCGCTTCCAGATTCGTCCATGTCCATCTCTTCTTTGGAAATAGGTGCTTTGTCGGATATTAAGCAAGCTACCAAATTGTTTTTTAATTTTATTACCCTATACTCTTTTTCATCGCTTTCGCCCTGAATGGGTGATGGTAGTATTTCAAATTGTGGAGTATCCATTGTTGTACGTCTCAAAATTGATGTAGTTGGAGTAATGTGAGTTGCGCTAACACTTCTTATTAAAGGATTTTGTAAAATGTATTTAAATAATTTCATAAATTAATTAACTTCAGTACATATTTGATTACTAAGCTGACATTCACGTGTCAGTTGTACAAAAACAAAAACCTAACCTCAACGATTTGGTTAAAACTCAAGTGTCAAATTTTTGGTCTGCATCGCCTGAATGAGAAGCCCTGCCTGAAGGATATAATGAGGTCAAACGAAGAATATGGAGACAAGAAAAATGACAAAAGAGTGGAATAAGATAGGTAATACAGGTACAGATACAACGCGAGATGACAGATCCATTTCAAATAATACAAGGATTAAAACAGGATGATGAGGTGACACTGCTGTGCAAGAAGATAGACTGGCCAAGAATTTATTCAAGACTTCAAGAGACAATGCGATATCTATCTCAGTCACAAGAGTAATCATGATTTCGGGACCGCATTCATTGGTAACAAAAAAGCAAAACATTTGATTATATGGACTTCAAACAAATAAGACCACAAATAAGTTATTTAAGAGTAAGAGGTAAGTTTTTTAACATCAGTCTCATAAATAAATACGCCCTAGCCCCAACCGATAACAAAGAAGACATTGTCAAAGATCAATTGTATGACGAAGTAGAGACTAGTATATATTATATCGATGGTAGAGACCATATACGACTACGACAGATGTTCCAGAAACGACGTCCAGATCCATTAACAGTTTCCGCCTTGTTAAAGACCGCATAAAATGTGAGCCTTAAAATAAACGAGGAAAACCCTAAATGTTGTTATCAATTGCCACGAAAAATTCAGCATAGACCACTATATTAGTATCAATAAGTCAGTTAATAATGAAAATTAAATTCTAGTAGGGAACCCGGGGTGGAAAGGGGCACCTAAGTTCGATAGTAATTTGTGTGATATTTAACGAAACTACACCATCATTTGACAAATCTTATGTTTATTTATTTATTTCTTTACAAGGAAAATATAGCTAAAGTTATAAAAAACAAACGTTTCTGAGAAAAATGTGCGTTACAAAAATAAAGGGAAATTTCCCATTCTGGCCCACCCCCCGGGCACAATGGGGTGCCCCATACTATAGCTAATATGATTGGCAAAGTTCACAGACGAGAACGCTTTCATCATCGTCACTATCTAAACCAGAACATGCTAGATGTGCCCATTACTTACAAATGCTACAAGAACACCAGCCTCCATTAAAGTAGTAATCATTGGCAATACAAGCAAGCTGTATCTTCTCCTTCTGCGCTATCTTCGGATTCAGTTTCAGATTATTTTTGTTTCTTTGACTAGTTTTAACCTGTTTGTTCTTGTTTTCTTTCCTTTTTCGTTGAGTTTCAGTTTCTCTGGGTTTATTCTCAGTCTTTTCACGCTTTTTTACAGCTCCTTTTGTTCCGGCTTTAACCTTTGGCAACGGAATTAGGTTTCTTGGCGATGTGACTGAAAAATGAAGGTCGGCATTAGTACGAACAGGGAATCGGGCATCCAAGAACATTCGGGTTTAGTGACATTTACTGATGGGGGAAGATTTTCGTCAATTGTCGGTACGGATCTAATACTCTTGACAGGATTATCAACTACGGGTGTGGGATGAACGATGAACATGGGATGAGGAGAAATGCTTCTGTACTAATGTAGTTGGCGTTGAGTCAGTTGTCTCTGGCATAACCGGTGATGTTTCCTGGATTGTACTGCCAACAAGATTTTCCAAGGGAATATCTGTTGTTGCTGATGGTGAATTTATTCGTATTGGATGGCCAGATACCAGATTTTTCAAAGCCATTAATGGCAGTTCTCATATTTGCTGCACTTAAGAAAGCCGGGCCAAAAAGTGTCGATATATCGAAAAGCTGAACCACTCTCCCTGGATGTGACCTGAGGCACTTCCTTATTTCATCCTCATAAGACAAGCTCAAGGACTTCACGAATGCAAGGACCAATTGTTGAATTTTGTGAGAGCAATGAGGAGGGAAGCGCAATATTAACAAACCATTGCCACGTGCTAGATCTTTGTGTGTGCCGTATGCCCGTCAAGAAGTAACAGAACTGGGTGTTCTTTCGTCGCTTTAGAAAACAGAATGAACTGTTGTAGCTATGTTACAAAAATCTCTGAAGTTATCCAACTAGAGTCGCTACATATTTGCAACATATTTCGGCTGAGACAGTGGTGCCTCTTTCAGCAGAACTTAAGACACCTACTTGACGTTGTCCTCTAACAGCTAATATTTTCGATAACTGTTTGGGAATCACGCTTATACCCGTTTCATCACAGTTGAAAATTCTATTGGCATCTAATTCGTGCTTGTCAAGAATTTCATTAAGCAGATTAAAAAAAATCGACACTGCTACTCTATTGAATCCCATAGACCGTGCTCCAGAAGTTGCTTTGGGTTTTCTTAAGCTTAAATCAGGGTGACGTTTGAAAAATCCATTACACCAATCTTCTGCCATTTCCAATGTTCTGTTGAAGTTATGCTTGCAGTTATTCTTTTCTGCTAGCTGGTATGCTAGCTATGCTATGCTATAGCTATGCTATTAGATGCAGCCACATATCCCATTTGTCCACTGATAACCGCATCTACAGCTTGCTTCATAACATCGGTAGACCTCGACTGCCGGTTGGTTTTCTTTTTGTAGTTACGTACCATATGCGATCAATAAAAAATATAATCAATACGAGAATTTAGAATGGAAGAAAACAGGGTCCAAAAAAACTGCTAAATGCAAGAATTCAGGGAAAGATTATCTAATAAGGAAATTTGGCCACCTAGTGTAAACATTGAATGGTCTACAGAATCATCATATTTCGAACCAACGCCTTCATGTGAGTCAAATATGAGTCCGAAGAACATCAGAAGTCCGGGTAGCTTGGAAAATCCAATTACGAATTTAAGCAACAACAAAAATGAAGTGGAAATCAATAAAATAGTCACAGACAAGCAATATGGGAAGCTCTAAAACACAGCTCAAACATTTTCTGATGTTGTTTGATTCCAATATAAATTTGCAATTATTCGAACATTTCTGCCGTCCAAGCTAATGTCTTTTAGAGCTTCGATCAATATAGAGTGCTTAACACGATCAAATGCCTTTTGGAAGTCAATAAAACAATAGAATATGTCTACAGATATATCTCGACATCTTTGAGCAAGTACGTTCATTCCAAACAGTGCCTTTCTCGTACCAAATCTGTTACAGAAATCAAACTGAGTGTCATACAGGTATTCCTCGCATTTATTGTAGATACGACCTTCAGAAAAATGTTTAATAAGTGGTTTAACAAACTGAAGGTTTTATAATCAGCACAGGTTTTTGTTGTTGTCTTCTTAGGTAGATCTACAAACAGTGAATTAGACCAACCATTAGGTAGTTGTCCGCTGATATAAATGGTATTGAAAAACGAAGTTACAGCTTCTAAAACATTGCTATCATTTATAAGCTTGTGTATTTCAGTTGGAAATTCATCAGGACCAGTCGCTCTGTCATCTTTTGATGATTGTATGGCTTTTATAACCTCAGAGCGTGTTATTAGGGGTCCGTCGCAGTTAGTAGTTAGTAGGTTGTAACGCCATAGGATTAAGGGAAGTTTTTTTTTTAAATAACAAATCAGAAACATTTTAAATTTTTTAATTAATATAATTTAATAGTACTCGTATAGATATATCACGCAAAAATAGTTACATATAGTAAGAATACATGTATAACATATTAATACAATTAAAATATTTAACAATGTACCTATAATTTAAAATAGATAAGGGTACATTCAAACATGGATGATGATCGTTTACAAACTGTACCAAAATTTTGCTCCATGGCATTGTAATATCACAATTTACAATATGGAATAGTTTGCAATAACGATAAATGAGTGTTTTTCTATATAAATTCAAATGTTTTTATAGAAATTCGATACAAAAGCAACAACAACAAAAAAAGGTAAAATCTTATTATTATTATTATTACTAAAAAATATTTAAATAAATCACAGGGAGTATTTATTAACATAGAGATTACAAAGCATTATTTGTTCTTATACAAGCACGTTGAGGTAGTACGTTATTATTAGTATTGTCGAACTGTTTTGTAAGCGATATCAGTGTAACTTTTAAGCGATAATTTTATTAATGTAAATAAAATTTGTAATATTTGTAATTTAGTGTCTCCTGTCTTAAGTCTCCTGTTAAAAACTTGCATTAAAAAAATGATGACCCAGAAGAAGTAGCACAAGCTGTTGCTCTACAGGATGATTGGCTGAGCATTCGTTACATCGTCAATGCTTTAGGAAAATCTCGAGGTACAGTGGTTGATGCAATACAAAGATTTTGGAAAACAGTACACCAGGAGGCCAGGTCAAGGTAGACAAGACAAGTTGAAGATCGCTTTCTTAGGTTAAAACATATATCCATAGAAACACAATTTCCATTTATATCGTTCGAAGACCCTTAAATGAATATGGTTTAAGGTCCAGAATACCTGTCACGGGACCTCTATTAAAGGGAGCTTTACATCTAGGCTATGCAAGTCTCATGCTATGCAAGTCCGTCTTGCATGGCACATCTCTTGCCTAGCTTGACCTTTTTACATCAGAGATATTTCTGTGCAATTTTAGATCCCACTTTCATTGTTGCCAACAGAGAAAATATTTATCAATTTGAGGTTATTTTATTTTAAATAAAAAATATAATTAAGTACTAAAATAAATAATATAATAAATAAATATACACTATTTATGGTTATTAAAACAAAGAAAACATTGTTATTGTTGAATATTGCTGTTGTAGCAACAATCATCCATAGTCAACGACTCACCCAGTCGTTTTTACATTAACTTTAGACATAGTATATCTATTTATCACCACTTAATAAACTTAATTTAAATCAAAACACAACAATACACATGTGGGTTAAGGGACGCTAAAGATAGAGATAAGGTTATGTTTTATTCTGTAATCTATTATAAATTGTTATGTTGGCAACATGAATTTTAACGATAAATTGCAAGAAAATTGCATGAAAAATAGAACATGTTCTAATTTTTCGTCTAGCACAGGAATTGCATGGAAATAGCCCGTGGGCATGCGCAGTTCCATGATTTGTCTTGCATGGCTCTTGACTAGCATGAAAATAGCATAATGTAAAACTGTCTTAACAGCAGATCATCGGAGGCAACATTTACACTTCGCTCGCGAATATCTTAATTGGGGTGTTGACGATTAGAGTGCTCTGCTTTTCACGGATAAAACAAGATTTAACAGATACTCATCATATGGCCGGCCTAGAATATGGAGAAGAGCTGGTGAACGTTATCAGCAATGTTGTTTTACTCCGAGAGTTCAATTTGGTGGAGGTGATATAATGGTGTGGGCAGGCATTGCCCTAGAGGCTCATACAGAACTTGTTATAGTTCAAGGGGCAATTTGAACGCTCAACGGTATATTCAGCAATATTTGGATGATCATGTAGTGCCATTTGCCTCTTTTGTTAGAGAAAACTTTCGTTTGATGCAAGATAATGCTCGTCCGCACATCACAAGAATAAAACGGGATTGCTTGGATGGAGTTGGGATTCGTTTAACACCATGGCCCCAAGAAGTGCAGACTTAAGTCCAATAGAACATCCATGGGATATTCTGGGACTACGTACCTATTCGATGTAACCATGGTGAGTTTGAAACCATGAACGAATTGGAGTAAGCAGTTCGTGACGAATGGGAGCAAATCCCCCAAGCAGACTTTGCTGCCTTAATCCGAAGTATACCTGATCGAATGAGATCCGTAATTAGAGGTTGTGAAGGTAATAAACAATGCGCACAGGCAACTCAAAAAAAGATTCAGGCGTATGGGAAAACAGAAGGACAAGACAAAATCAAGAGGAGTACAAATTGATGAGACAAGCAGAGAAAAATATACTAAAACAAAAGAAAAAACGACATTTAGAAAACCAGCTACAGGAACTAGAAAGGCTCAATTCACAAATCGAAGCGCGAAAATTTTGTGTGTCAGTGTATCCGAACCCACATAAAAAGAAAAACATAGCATTACATATTTTAAAACAAAAAATATTAAAACAATAACAGATAATATAATAAGGAACGTCTTAGTTAATAAAGTATTATAAAAGCCATTCTGGCAATGTAGTAACTTGTATTTTCCGAATTGCATTTTAAAATTATTACTAATACTGCACTGTCACAAAGTAAAAAGGTTACCATACTAAACAATGATCTGTTAAAATATTGATATCAACTAAAAAAAATTAAATATTAGCACCATTTCATTTCTAAGTTTTAACACGATCATAAAACAATGATAGTTATTTGTCTGTTTTTTTAGGAAAAGGTCTTAAAAATATTTTAAACTCGTCAATATCTTCGATAAAGTATCCAGCAGATTTCCCTTCTGGTAAATTTTTATTATCACCCAATATTTTCAGTGCTGTATCCTTGAGTTCACTTCCATTTGTGACACTTTCTCCAGTAGAGGTGGCTTGGCTGTCTTGAATATGACCAGCTATTTGAAAACTAATCTTCCGGAAGTTTTCTTGGCTACCAAAGTTATTGTGTTTACTCCACCAAGTCTTAATATCTTCCAATGTTATAGTCTTAATGCATTCGACCTCTTGTTTTGCTCTATCAAACATATAATCATCATAGATGATCTCTAACCAATTCCTGTACACTTCTTTTGCTAAATTATGGTCACAGACTTGTTTAGTTTTAATCAAATCCTCTTTAATCTTCTCTATACCTTCGACAGTAGTTTCATCTACTAGTTTTTGGGATTGTTTTAAAAATGCCTCAATTCTGGAATCTAAATATTGTGTGGAATACTTATCAACCTGCGAGTTAACTCGTAAATTAAATACTAAGACATCATATAGTTTATATCCACGACAAGATACATGATATCCCAGTTGTTCAATTGTGCGGAGAGTATTAAAGCATGGTTCAGCAATTATTTTCATAACGATGTCCATAAGTACCTTGTCTTTTAAAGAAAACGATCCAACTTGGTAAACATTGGAAGTTACACAGTTGGCATCTTTTTTATTAAGTGATTCCACAAATAGACACTTTTCCCCAAGAGGTATCTGTGGTACAGACAATCTAGGATATTTTTCTTTTGGTATTTCTTCAAAATCTAAACTTTTAATAAACTTGTTAATGATATCACATACAACATCTGCTGTAATATTTCCCTGAACCAGAGATTGAATAAGAAGATTTTTAGGAAATTTTTTTATAAAATCTAGCATATCGTCAAAAGTAAGATTATAGAGTTCCCTGTAAGTATCTATGGGCGAAAAATAATTTGTAATCAAAAGTTTATTTTGAAGTTCATTACCTAAAGAAGCAGTTTGAAATAGTTTGTTATAGTATAGTAGTAAAGATTTTTCTTTAATTCCATTAAATATGTTTTGATTTATATGATCAGATAAATTTAGTATATACTTTGTCAATAACTGTAATAACAACGGCAATTTTTCGTTATATCCATTTATTTGAACTGTGATTCCCCTGTCCTCAGCTATAAAATGTACAGACAAACTGGCTATAGTTGCTGGATAAACCTCCTCACATGTAGCAAATGATAATAAATCAACAAACAAATCAGTCAAGACAAAATTTTTTGGTGATTGTATGGTAAGAGGATTTAAAAGGTAGATATTGAAATGAGCTGTTGGTAGCTTAAACTTTTGATCTTGTCTGTACCATAACTCACATTTGGTGGTATCTATTAATTTTTGTGGATAATCAGGGTGATTGGAGGTGCAAGGAAGTAAATCAAAATTGCTAGTTAAAAAAGGGTTAGGAGGGGCGAGACTGAGTTCAGTATATGGCACTACAGACTCCCATTTACTTAATAGTTCCTCAGAAATCTCTATGTCTGTGTATTCGGCTTGTAGCCATTTTTCTTTCTTATTGAATTGTAAACCATCTGGTAATACTTTTGTTGTAATAGCAATGTATACATTTTTGGGTGTCAACTTGTTCAGTAACTCAGTTATTTTTTCTGGAATGTATTCCTTGTATAGTTGACTAGCAGAAATGATATCTTCAGGAGGATGAATACGCAGATTAGTCGCTAGTGTATATGTATTATAACTAACTGATCGTTCAGTCTCAAATTTAAAATCTGTATCAGCTATGACTTTCAACTCTTCAAACACTTGTTTTTGTGGACCCACCGTTTTTAAAAGATTAATGTAAGAAAAAACTACTTCAATAACATCAAAGACATGTTTTAAACCTTCTTCTGTTAATGCTACATTTAAAGTCAAAAAGTCAAAAATAGAATTATTGTCAAACTCAGAAAAAGCATCCAATGACAAAGCCCACATATGTTTCTTTAAATACGACAAAATACTACCTTTACCTTTATCCCCCAAGAAATGTGATAAATACTTGACAGCTTTGCTTTTATATTCATACTTTTGTGAAGGTAAGGCCCAAACAAGATCTAGTTGAATTATTTCTTTCAATGGTTTAATATAGTAGATTGTGTTAAATTCAGGTGTATCAAAAACATCAACGTACTCACTATAATTAGGTTTAGGTAAATTATTATTTGGTATACCTGAGAAATACTCCTTGACATATGCTTCTAGTGTCTCTAATGGAAGTCTTGCTTGTATAGCCAAAGTCATGTTATGGGAAGAATAGTACCTCTGTCTGTGCTCATGAAGACGTTTATGTAACTCATCATCAGATATATTGTCTTTTAAAGTTTTCAAGTTGCCCCACGGAAAGCTCACATGTACAGGTGTACCTTTTTTAGCTGACCTCATTAACAACTGCGCCCGCCGTGGTTCATCTTTCGGTAATGACATCTGAAATTCTGAGTCCACAGCCTCCCTTTCTCTAGTTAATGCTTCTTTTTTCAATAATGGCGCTATAAAAAACTGTGACCACCTATCCAAAGCTCCAGGCAAATGTTTTTCAAGACACTCAAAGGAAAATGATGTGCACTCATATTCTGTCCCGGCATTCGAACTTCCACCTCCTTTTGTAAGAAACGAATCAAAATCATTTTCTGTAGGAAATTTTTCACTGCCCATAAAAACCATATGTTCCAACAAGTGCGTAAGTCCTAGGACGTCCACAGGATCACAAAAACATCCAGCCCCTATTTGCAACGTAGCACCTGCCAGTTTTTCTTCATTAGCAATGGTTACTCCACCTATTTCATTTGAATCTGTTTGAGTTTTTACTTCGGATATAAGTACGGCAACTAAACCATTTTTCAGTTTTATAATTTTATATTCTTTTTTATCACTTTCACTTTTTATAGGAGTTTTTAAAATTTCAATTATTTGATCTTCCATATTGACACATTAATTAATACCACACTTTAACCACAAACCATAAAAAATTGTTTTTATACTGTGTTAATACTGTCGATAAAAATACAAAGATTTTTGTAAATCGCTATTATCTACTCAATATCTAAACAATTAAGTGATTGTTTAGATAAAAATTATTCAATTTTTTACCAAGCCAGCTGCTGTTTCTAGTTGGCACCTGTGATGAAATAGATAAAATAGTTCGAGATCATGTCATTAATATATGTACCGTAATTTAATTATGTATGTTTGTGGGTTCAATGCTATTTTAGAAGTGGACAATAATTTTTAATTTCCGTGCAATGCTATACCAATACCAATTTCGAGCTTTGCTCGTAACAGGTCGATGGTCGATGCTTGAGATCGACCTTGAGTCGTTTTTGTGTTTTATAGTCTAGGTGCCAGGCGACATACTGTATCACTCATACAAAACAAACAGGCTACAATTTTCAGGATCGCTTCATAAGACCTCGACCCCCAAATATCTCTTGGGATACTTTCTGTACCGGGTACTTTTTCTCTCCAGCTTATCCAAAAGTGGTCATTTTGAAGTGATGTATCAAATTTATTAATAACGTATTGCTGTTTTATGAATAAAAAAGTCGACTTCGTGAAATATCCGAAAAAAATCTTGTCCGACAAAAATTTTGGTTCCATAAGGGGGGAGTCCACCAAACTAAACATGCCAAAAAAACAACTTTAAAAAATTTAGTAATAACAAGTAGATTTTCTCTATATCGTTTAAAAATAACGTGAAAAATACTATTTTTACATTTTCCGACAAAATGTAGTCGCCAATTTGTCCGTCCAACAGTGAAAATCGCATTTTCCAAGAGTCTGTGGAAATTTATTAATAACGTTTTTTTTATATGATTTTTAGTTTTTAAATGAAGAGTACAACATAATGAATGAATTGTGCGACAAAAAAATAGGGCCTTTTATGTGAAAATTAAAAAAATACTCGGAGACTACTTTTTTGTAGAATGTGTGAGCATTAAAATTGTAGATACCTACATCCTATTTATAAATAACAAGCTAATTTTTTTAAAGCTATTTTATAAAATCTCGTAGTATACAAATTGACGAACAAGAATCTTTTTCCAATTTTTCAGTCGAACACGTTTTGTCGTACCCTTCGCTGAAATTGTGATTATAAATTTTGTGTATATAAATTAAAGTTTGTGGAATTTCTCATTGAAGACTAGTGCAACGACGAATTTGCTGAGATATGTGAAGGAAAAATATTAAAATTGAATTATGATAATTGTTACGTGTATGAAGTTTTCAACAATCGAATGAAGAGATTTGTAGATTATAATTCACTTTGTACACATGAAGAAGCAGATACAAAGATTGTACACCATATTTACCAGATGAACACGAGCTAGTTCGTTGTACCGACTCTGACACACCCATAATTATGTTATCTAATATGAAATTTTAAAAACCTAATGTGGAAGTAATTATAGATATGTCATTCAACAAAAAAATATTTTAATATTAATGATATTTATCAAAATTATGGAGAACAAATAACACGAGCTCTAACAGCATGTCATGTATTTACTGACAGTGATTATAACCCTACATTTTATAGAAAAAGAAAGAAGAGACCATTTGATATTTTGAAGAAAAACGAAAATACCAGGTAGCCTTCCTGAATCTTTCAAGAATACCTCCATCTGAAATGAATACTTCAAACCAAACATTTAAAGTCATTAAAGAATTTATTTGTAAAGTTTATTCTTTAAAAAGCAAAGACGTCAACATAGGGCGAGCAGTAGGTATTCTATTTTTGTTTTTCTTACCAATTAACGAGTTTCAGTTCTTATTCTTTTATATTCTTCATTCGTTTTTCTGACTTATATTTTTGTTTAACCTCTAGTGTAAACCATGGTGTTTTCGTTGACCACTTTTTGTTTATTTTCGTTCCAAGGCTTCTCGGACAGCATTCAGAATATTTTTCCTAAGTTTTCTCCAGCTATTCTCTACATTGCTTTCATTTTCGATATTCTCCATTTGTATTTTTTGTTCTAGCCTTTTTTGATATAATGATTTTATGGAGTCATCTCTTAAATTTTTTATTTTTTATTTCCTCTGAATTGGTTTGTTGAAGCTTCTTTTTCCATCTCTCATTGAATCTAATTTTACCAAGTACCAAATAGTGATCGCTTCCCACATTGGGTGACGTCAAACTTCTCACATCCACTATCTGTTTTTGATGAATATTTCTGTTTGTGACCACATAATCCATCATTGATCTATGTCCTCTTGTATTTTCAAACGTGTATTTGTGTTGAATTTTATGATCAAAAACATGTGTTAGTTATTCTCAGTTCGTTTGATGTACAGAATTCCACCATTCTCTTTCCGTTTTCATTGATAACTCTTTCGTTAAACCTTTGTTTTATTCATGGTATTACTTCGTCTCCTATTCAGGCATTGAAATCTCCCAATAATATAAATAATTCATTTTGCTTCAATTCTTTTTCCACTAATGTTTGTAGCTCATCATAGAATTCCTCTTTATCGCTGTCAGGTTTGCAGTCTTCTGGTGCATATATCCCTATTATGTTAATAATTTTGCTGTTCGCCCTAATTTTTACTAAAAGTATTCTCTGAGATATATACTGGCACTCTTTAATTTGATCTTTATATTTTGTTTTGATCATTATTGCTACACATTCCTTTGCTCTTTCTTGTTTCGGAACCCCACTATATATTAGCAAATATTCTCCAAGCCGCGTCTGTCCTTTAACTTTCCTCTTTGTTTCCTGTAATGCGCAGATATCTATTTGATATTCTGTCAACTCTTTTCCTATTTCCTGATCTCGGTTATTTAGGCTTTTTATGTTCCACGTCGCCAATCTCATTATATTTTTCGTTTTACAGTTCGTCTTCTTTTTTCTCGCCTTTGTCGTTATCATATTTTCTGTCCTAATCCGAGGTTCGTCACCGGTTCTTTGAGCTTTTTTTATTTTTATATATGGCAGGCTGCTAACCTAACTCTACAACCCTCCTCCTTTATCCGGGCTTGGGACCGGCAACATCACTCACCAAGCCACCAAGCTACTCGATCCACCTAGTGGGTAATGCAGGCGGAGTTGTCTCATTTTTTTAAACTTTTTAATATTGATTTTAGTTTTGAATCCCACCGTGATTTGTATATTGTAATTTAAACTGTTAATGGGGTTATCCTGTATATTAAATAAATAATAATAAATTCATGAATGCTTGTAGAAAACTTTTATTAACACTTTTGGGCACTTTTTTAAAGAAATAAAACGAACAATTAGTAATAAATCACACAAATATATCATTTTTATTTAATATATCACACAAAAGTAATTATAATAGGTGTATATATCTAACAAAATATTCAAAGTTGTATAAATTATAAAAAATATGGTAATTGTTTTTAATTAAAATAAAGTTAAAAATCATAAACAATGTATATTATGTATATTTTTTCCTGTCTGGCACTTTCTTTTCGGCATTTATCGTGAGACCATGAAAATTAATTAAAGAATGGAATTCGCTTGGTAATTATCATAAAAGGTGTTTGCATTTATTGCTAGAAGAGTTGGATTGGTTGGATTAAGGAAAAGCCATTAACTATTACTGACCAACTCTACTATGGACCAAGTTCACAGAATAACTAAAGACCGCTTTACAGCTTGCAAGAAAACTTGCTGCAACTTCTTGCATGACTAACTTTCATGCAATTTATTGCAGGGTCTTTATGTGCGACTTTACAGCTTGCAATTAATGTTGAAATTTTTACTCTTAACCTAACTTATTTATGATTTTTTTTTTAATTACTTGTTTATTTAAAACACTTTAGTCGATTTAGTTTGATAGATAGATTGAATTAATTTCGATAGATAGATTTAGAAATAATTTCGATAGATTTAGATTAGAATTTAGAATGATATATTTAGAATTAATTTCAATAGATAGATTGATTTAGATAGATATTAAATTTCGTAATGCCAAGACTATGCAAGACATCGTTAGTACTTCGGGCAGAAGATAGTTCAATTTTTGATGATACTCTAACGTATTAATTAAAAATATTAAAATTAGAAAAAGCCGATAATCTACAAATCAAGCCAAGCTAAATACAAATGTGTGGGAAAGGAAAAAATAAACAAAACAGGAAACAGCTGATCGGCATGTCTCCGTGTCAATCAGTGATTATGACATTTGACATTGTGAAAAAATCAAACTTCCTACAAATTCTCCTAGACTTGCATGAAAACTTGCACAGAAAATGGCACCAAACCGATTATCGCGCAACTGCAATAAGTTGCAGGCAATAATCAGCTGACGACATACTGCGCATGCCTTTGGGCAACTTTCTGCGTCTTGCAGGTAAAATTGCAAGCTGTAAAACGAACTTAACATCATAGAAATGACACTAGAAGAAAAAAAAGTTGGCACTATGTTCTTGAATAAGGTATAAGCTTTTGACACGGTACGGTATAATGATTTAGGATATAAACTACGCTATTACGTACCAAATGGTAGTGGTATTAACAGTTTTCACTGTTCCAAAGTACTACCATCAAAAGAAGACAACCTGGCATTTTGACATTGTAGGAAATTTACCAATGATGTTTTTATATTACAGATCACCCTAAAATAATCACAAACAACGGCCACAAAAAAATAAATAACATACTAACAATTGGCGCAAGCCACAAAAAATACTAACAAACCCAAAAAACACGCAAGAGGGGCCCACATCCTCGAGCGCCGGGTCTATTAGAATTTGTTGTTTCCCAGTGAGGTAATACAGAGATAGCAGTGAATTATTTGATTACTTTATTTTACAAAAGTACTAAAAACTAAACATGTGCTACATTCTAGAAAAATATATTTTTACAACTGACATATGACAACCGGAATCACTTAAGACATTGTGAGCCAGTGTTGCCAAGTACAAAATTCCAATAGGGTCTCCTAACTGGGAGTAGCCAGGATCGGAGACTCGAGGGCCGAGCAAGCAATACAGTTCGAAGCATTCCAAAAATTCACAGTA